TCCCCCTCCTCTCTCTCTCTCTCTCTCTCTCTGCTTCGTCTTTGGCGTCGTCTTGGCGTTTCATGTCGGATATATTATGAGGAAAAGAGCGAGGCGGTTTCCGCACGTTGGAGAGGCAACTAAAGAAACCGTGGCGTCTTTCCACTTCTGGACATGCGGGTCCACGTGGACCGGTTTCGTATCTATTTTTGGCGTACTCTACGCCTAAGTGCCCACTTCCTAGTATCTTGAGTAGCTCCTTTTGTTGGCTTTGTCGAGTCTGCGAAGCAGAGACTTCGAAGTAAGGTCTGTTATATCGAAATATACCATCCATATCAGGTGGTAAGTATCGATCCGATAGATTACTAATATGTGGACCATTCGGTACCGTTATAGTACTGTAGCAGTGCTATAGTACTATATTATAATATTATTATAGTATAAAAATATAAAATTATTCGGTACATCAGGGTGTATCGTTCGGTACGTCCTGATATATCGCTCGATATACTGATACCGTATCGTACCGAGCTCGGATCGAAACATCGGTACGATACGATACGACGAACCTTGCTTCGAAGTATAAAACAAGGTAGGATGATATATATATATATATATATATAATTCTAATACAGAATATGTGATTCTGAGTCCATTGTAGGACTCATCGTAATGTGTGCTTGTCTCAATGTTAGGAAGGTCTGAAGTAACTTAGGACTTTGCTTGCCTATAAACAAACTAAACGCTACTACTACTCATTGAAGTTGGTGTACAGTGAATTCCAATCTCTCTAGAAGAACACCGTCTCCCAAGCTTGCCTGGAGCTAAGACGATTACACATTGATCGACCATCGAGAACGGTGCTGTGGTGTGGGTTAATTGGCTGGGAGCCCCCAACGGATGCAGAGGCCGGTGAAATAGTTTGAGGAGTGTTCTCTACACACAGAATCGAAGAGCTTCAGCTCTTTTCCGACTTCCTCTGCTCCACATCCACCGATCTTTTCCTTCTTCAGAATGGCACTCGATCGGTGACCTGGTCAACAAGGCACCAAGATGTCTGATGGGAAGACCTGTCGAGTGCAGTGAGCGGACAGGCATTGTCTTGAATTGATGTATGCACATACGTCCTCATCCCGTTGGAGTTGACTTGTGACACACCTCTCGTGTTGTGTTCGGCCTATAGGTGGACTTACTGAATTGAGTTTAAATCTAATTTACTAAAAGAAAGAGAGAGAGAGAGAGAGAGAGAGAGAGAGAATAGAGGCGTGCGCAGCGAAAGGCGTGCGAACGAAATGGGAAACAGTGGCGCAGAAAAAGAACAAAGAGAGGAGAGAGAGAAAGTTAGTATTTTGAGAATTTTATTAGAAGATGGAGTGATTAAACTTTATCGGTTTTAACTTAAATTTTATGTAAAAAATTTTTATAATAAGTTTTACAATTTTAACGATGCCGATCTACAATTTATTTTCTCAGATATGCTTTTCTGATATATTTATTTGGTGAGACCTAAATTTTTATGATGATAATGATATGTCAATATTATTATGATCTTTTAGTTATTTAAAAAATATATTATAAATTTATTATTATTATTGGTGATAGTGAAAATTTGAAGTGGGCTATGGTCCTATGATTTTTTTTACATTGGGTTTTCTATGTAAAAATTTGATGTCTCACTTTGTAATTGATTCATTGTTCTACTATTTATGTTACTCTGATTAATAAATATTTACTTTTGATAATAAGTTAAAATTTTGATGAAAAACTCATTTTGATATACAAAGTGAGAAAAAAATTATTCCACTATAATAGTTTTTCCTAATATCTCGTTACTCCTCATCCTACCTCTCGAGCATCCATTAGATACCAATTAGTGTTAGAATGCTAATTGTTTAACTAAGACCATAAAGAATCGTGATTCTGTGACTTGGTTTCATGACAAATTATCGGACTAAAATTACATACTCATAAATTATACTATTTACATTTTTTTTTATTTTAGTCTTGTGTTAGTTTTGCCTCATATCCTTATGATTTCTAGTGAATCAATGACTAGAAAGACATAGGTCAAGTTCTTTATTGTACATATTCCTTTGATTACTTGGTAAATAATTTACAGATAGGTTCATTTTTCCCGATTATTTGGGTCTCTAAATCAAAATTGAGTATTTCTTTTAATAGGGTTTGTACTCGAGATCAGATACAAAGTTAAGTAGAGAGAGAGAAAAGAGCATCATAGTAAAAAAGAGAAGGGTAAAAGACTAAAAGAAAGAATTTTTCATCTAAATCTAAAGTGTTAGATCGATTGACAAGTTGAATAATAAAGGTTGAGGAGCTTTCGTAAAATTAATAAAGATAATAATTTTCAAGAATAATTTTTAGAAAATTAATATTTTTTAGGAATCCAAAATGTGAGTTCTAAAAAATTTAAATAGTAAATAAGTGTACTTAATACAAGAGACTTTTCAATTTTAAATATGACTATTAAAATTTCTAGACCAACTAATTGATGACTTTTGTTGATTTCTTTGACTAAAATATTTTTTTTAAAATTTTTTATAAAGCTAAATGGTTCTCCGTCATTTTCTCTGGTGAAAAAAAACTTGATCTCGGAGAGTGAATGTAAGATACTGATCTAATAAGTTTAGTACAAAGTCACAAAGTTCCTCCACAGTAATCTAAGTGATATCGAAAGTTAAAGAATCACATCACTTGATAAGAAAGTGTCGAGTAATGTTAATAGCAGATGTAATAAGATAGTAATAAAGAATGACCTCTATGTCATCCTATGTGGGAGAATCAATATTTTAGAAGGATTGCCACTTGTAAGAATAATACAAGGGCTCATAATTTCTTTAGTAACATCACACAATTTATTATGAAGGCTCTTTATTTCAAAAGATTTAGATCCAATAAATAGAATCTCTTAGTGTTTTGGGCTTATGGAATAAACAGAAGAGTTCCTGATTTATCTTTTTTTAATAGTTTTGCTAATTGTATGATGATGTTTTGACTTTTGTATCAAAAGGCATATGTATTTTTTTCTTCTATGGTTAGTAATATCAAAGTCATACAACGATAGCCAACCTAAAAGAATATGAGCAACGCTCATTGGTAGGATGTTACAGTAAATCTCATCTTGATAATCACTCATTTTGATTGGTACTGAGTATCTTTCGGTCACGGGTAAAATGATTTTATTAATCTATGCCATTTTGAACGGGTGATATGTAACTTTACTTTAAAATTTGATATCTTGATAGTAGATTTTGAGACTATGTTCATAGTGCTACTTGTATCAATAATTAATTTTTAATTCCTTCTCCCCTTTAGATAAATGTATGGAAGATACTTCTCATCTTTTATTCATTGGAATAATTAGTAATAGAGAGAATAAGACAAACAATATTAATATGGGCATCTTAAATTTCTAGTTCGTTTTTATCACCTGAATGAGCTTCGAGTTCAATTACTTGATCTACTTCCTTGATTTGATTCTCTAACTCTTGTTTTAAGATAAGGGTATGTTTAGAATAATAAGATATCATATGACCTCTATTATGACAATAATGATATTGGATTGAAGACAAACTAATTTGAGAATCAATAGCTGAATGAGTTGGACGACCCATAGTTGGGTCAGGATTATTGTTAGTAGTGGGTTTTTTTTTTTTTTGCTTAACAAAGCCACTACTTGGGGTAGATTGGGTCATAGTTTTATTATTGAAAGACTGAGAAGATACTCGATGAATTGGATAAAGTTTGATATACTTCTCAATCTCAAAGGCTCATTGGAAAGCTTCCTCTATAGTGTTAGGGAAACTAAGGAAGACTTTTTGTTGGATGTCAAACCTCAACCCATTAATAATTTTTTGGACAGTAATAGTTTAGTCATCTTCTCTTTCACACCTAAGTAAAAATTTCTCATTGGGCCAAATACTCTACTACACTCGAATTCAACTATTTAAGGTTTAATAATTATTCAATCAATTAAATTTAAAAGTAGGTTGATAAATATTTTTCTTTAAACTTTTATTTCATAACTTCCCGAGTGATGGGTGTCTTTCCCTGCCGTTCAAGATTACATCGGACACATTGACAATATTTCCTAGTCGACCCTATCAGTTTTATTTTTTATTTTTACAAATCGTATACATTTAATATCAAGAGTTTCATATCACTCAAAGTAGTCTTCTATGTTATTTAACCAATTAACAAGCATATTTGGGTTAAACCTACCATTAAAGTCTAACACATCCACTTTAACTCTTCTAGCTATTTTCTCAAAATTGTTCACAAATCAAACTTGTTAACCCATTACTCGGGTTTGGATTTCTAATAGGTTCTAGAAATTTATCATTAAGGTCAAAAGCTTGGCCATCAGAAAATATGTACCTTATAGATGGACCAAGGATTTGTTCAAACAAGGGTTTGGCAAGTAGGTGAAATTCCTTGATTTGAAATTATAAACTATGGAGAATAAATATATTAGTAATCGACTTATCAACCTCCTCATTTATGAGTCATTTTCTTATGTGTTGAGAGCTCTTAGGACCTATGCCATTTGGTTATATAACCGGTTCAACATTATATCATGATATTCTAGCTTGATCCTAAGGGTGTTTATCTAATTTTGTTGGTTTAGAAGTTCATCATGATTGGTTTAGTTTTTAAAAAGGAATAATAAAAATAACGATCTAAATATATATTTTTTAATAAAAAATATTAGTAAAGTTTTAAAAATTTATCCAACACAAAGAAATATGCGATGCACTAATTCTATAGAGATAATCACTCCAAAGTCCAACTTCACGTAAAAGGGGTTAATGTTGGAAGTGTAGGGATCCTTGAATGTTGATCAAAGTTTTTGCTATTAGTTGAAATATAATAGAGTACAATACAGATTTCTTAATGGTCTGATACAAGTTGATGTAGAATACAGAGAATAGAAGAGTAGAGGTAGAGAGCAAGATAGATCGCAAAAGAAGAGTGTAAGAGACCGGAAGAGAGAAGATGTAAGTCTTTTTTTATTCAAATATGAAGTTATTGATCCATCGATAAACTCTACTATTTATAGAGGTTTAAGAGCCTCGATACAATTAGTGAAGATAATGATTTTCAAAAATAATTTTTTAGAAAATTAATATATGTTTTAAAAATCAAAATTGTGACGTTCAAAATACTTAAATTGTAAATAATTATACTTAAATATAAAAATAAAAGAGTCCCTAAAAACATCAAAGGACTTTTTAATTGTAACATAACTCTTAAAACTTTTATATAAACTAATTGACGACCCTTTGTTAATTTTTATGCTTAAAATAATTTTTTTTCTAAAAGTCTTTATAAAATTAGATGGTTCTCCATCAGCTTAGCCATATCATATCATGACATAAAAAAGAAAGAAGATCATTCACTATACAATAATTTAATAACAATAAATGAGGTCGCACTCGTTGACAACGAAAGAGAGAGGTTATCTTAATGTAGTAAACTATAGGAATCATGAAAATTATAGTTATAAGCTACTCAAATCCAAAACGTATATCTCGTGTTCCTCAGTCTTAATCTTTCGAAAGATAAGAAATTTGGAACCATCCAAACAGTGGATGATGCATTTTAAATAATCTAAAAGAAACTCCATGATTATTCATCCGTTTCAAGGAAATCATTGTTGACTAAATCACTTCCCGAGAAAATTTCATTCTTCTTAAATCAACTATAAACAAAGAATTAAGAGACAAGACAAGGAGAGGTGTACAACAAGACAACTAAAGTTTTAGGCGAAAAATCTTCTCTCCCTTATTCCAGAAAGAGACGTTCTTTAACTAAAATACTTCTCATGTCAAGACATGTTATGCTCCACATAAATCCACTGGGAATAAAGAGCCATGCAAAGAAAGTACTTGTCCGACAATGAATAGTATGGTGCTCACACCACGAGAGAAGGGTTGGCCACCTAACACATGGATTCTTTTTCTTCCACACTTTCACTTCCGCCCACAAACGAGCACACACTCGCATGCGCAAAAGTCAGGCTTGAGAGGACCCTCGAAAGGTGGTGGCGTCGAGATTGAGAGATCCGTAGAACAACCCATGCATACATCTGCGTGTCGGGGGAGATTTAACGTAGGAGGAGACCCGACTGGTCTTCGCACCGTCCATCCCACTTCCTCTTTTAATCTCGGCCGTCCATTCGTCTGGCCAAATCAATTTTTAATGTTTGTTTTTGTTCTAAATAAAGGACGGATGAGATTAAAAATGATCGTGCGATGGACGGTTCTCGGTCCCTCGCGCACTCGGTCAAATGGGACAAATAGACGGGATCGAGTCAATGGGCGCTCGCAACTTCCCTTCCCTTTGTTGTATATATCCATCCATCCATCCACCTCTCTCTCTCTCTCTCTCTCTCTCTCTCTCTCACTCAACGCTCGCCTTCTTCTTCTTCTTCTTCTTCTTCTTCTTCTTCTTTGAAGCCTATCACTGTTACGAGCACCGGTTGCGTGCATCCGATATGGGGAGGTCCCCGTGCTGTGAGAAGGCTCACACCAACAAGGGAGCATGGACCAAGGAAGAGGACCAGAAGCTGATCGCGTACATCAAAGCCCATGGTGAAGGCTGCTGGAGATCGCTCCCCAGCGCTGCAGGTTTTCTTCTGAACATTTTCTTGGAGAAAAGGGAGAAGGGATGTTAATTTTCTTTGGTTGTGGTCTCTGCTGGTGCTGTCAGGTTTGCTCAGATGTGGCAAGAGCTGCCGGCTCAGGTGGATAAACTATCTCCGACCTGATCTCAAGCGCGGCAATTTTACGGAGGAGGAAGATGCGCTCATCATCAAACTCCATGGATTGCTTGGGAACAAGTATGCCTGCCGCTTTCTTTTCTCCTTCTCTAACAGGGAAGAAGCAGGAAGATTCACGACTGGTATGGGTTTGCAGGTGGTCTCTGATAGCTGGGCGATTACCCGGGAGGACGGACAACGAGATCAAGAACTACTGGAACACCCACATCAAACGAAAGCTGCTCAGCCGAGGCATCGACCCTCAGACCCACCGGCCGACAACCGGCGCCGCCACCCTCACCGCTCCACAACGGCAAGGCGTCTTCATTCCTATCACCGTGCCACGAGACACGGCCGTCTCAGACTCCGCCGACGACGGCCGCATGAGCAGCGACGCGAGCCATGACGAGGACCGCGACCGCTGCCTCGACCTCGACCTCTCCATGAGCCTGCTGCCTCATCGCTCCCCGAAACAGTCTCCTCCTTCGGAGTCTCCAACAACATCCACCGCAGCAGCAACACCATCCACGAGCAGCTACACCGGAGGCATATGCCTGTGCTGCCATCTCGGATTCCAAAGCTGTGGGGCTTGCAGTGGCCAACCCATCCCGAATCCATGTGTCTTCAGATACTTCAGACCATTGGAAGAAGGGCAAGGCATAGATTAGCGAAGCTTGTATCTGAAACTGTGATCTTATTTGCCCAAAGGAACAAGGAAAGGCTCATGTAGTGATTGGTAATCATCCCATTATAATGCAGATGTAGCTGTGAGCGGTCAAAATGTTCAGATTCTTAAGTACTTTACTGGCAATAAAAAATGAAGATTAATGGTGACAAGGGCTGAGTGAGGGAAAGGTAGGAAGGGTCGTCGTTGTGAGAGTCAGGTTTCCTGGTTCTGTTGTAGCATATGATGTGAAGCCTTCTGCCGCACACAGGCGTGAAGAGAACATGCCAAGTTTCTCAAGTGTTGAGGGTAGCCAACCAAAGCAGCAATTAATGAAGGAAGAGGGATTTGTCGTGCGTTCTCTGTTGAGAAGATAATAATGGTCAAACCCACAATTATGGTGCTAATCCATCCTTAATTAGTGAGATGGGGTTAGTTTTTATCTTTTGCAATGAGATCCTATGAAGAGTTCAGACAAAATATTATTACCTCAAAATTTGTAGATCAAGAAATAGAGATTTTTATTCAGTACACAGATGCTGGATGCTCATATATTGCTAGGACTAACATTCAACGACAACAAAGACACTTGATTACTTCACAAGGTTTTCATGGTGATTAGATAAATGACATTGACTGGTATGCAGATCAATAGACATCATGTACAGAAGTTCAAAAAAAATTGAAGACAAAAAGGAATATAAGCTGCAGTATAGCAATGAATCCCACAGAAAAAACGTTCTTCGTGCTTGTAAAGACAATTCTCAATGGCGTTTGGTCAATGATCAAACAAATATTTCAAATCCATAGTTCAAAAGGGATAAGTTCGACACAGGATAAGAGTGCATATATTATGTGTGCCAAAAAGACTTTTTTGAGTAGGCAAACCTTTCAAGGTAAACTGTCTCAACCAGAAAAGAAATGATCTTTAAGGTGTCTTTAGTGCCTAAAGAGGAATACTTTCCAAGAGACAATCTGCACCATAAAATGATCTTTAAAGTGTAATAAAAAGCTCATTCCCCTTGACCATGCAACACATGGGTTGGAACATAAAGCTTTGTATGCTCTATCATTGCCCAAAATTTAAAAGGAGCAAATTGCACTGAGTCCAGCCCTATCTCCTACCTCCTACCAACATGGGCAGATTATATTTCCACACACATGTGGATAGACCAAAAGTTGAACAAAGGAAAATGCAAAGGGTGGTGGCAGTTGGTGAAAGGTAGTCAAATGACATCACCTGATGCAACTGCCAATGGTTTTGCCTGTGAGACTTGCTTTCTTTTGTCTCTGTATGTCCTTTTCCAAGGCTTTGTTGAATGGATGGCCATTAAGAACAGGGGTGTGGGTGTGTGGAGGAGGTGGCTCAGCTTCTAGAAGTGCAACAACACACAAGCATGGAGTGATGCAACTTGAAGTGGATGGCTATTACAATGCATAAAGTGATGCATCTGTGATAGCCCTATATATATAAAGAAAAATACAAAACTATAGTTTGGATTTGTAATACCTTGGATGAGATCAGTGGACAAGGTTTCAACAAGTATCTGAGTCACTATCCACTGTAAAGAATGACTTTAAATATTTTTTGGGGCTCTTAGCAGACATGGTTATTGAACTCAAGTCATGACAATAAAACTATGCTCTCTTATAGACTTGAGGATAGTGTCTAGAAGTTTAAAGGGGACTTGTATGAGGCATGGCCTTCTTTTAGTCTTCTGCTATATGATAGCATGTAGATAATATGGTCTGCTTGACTATATCTTTGGAATACCAATTTGTCCTATACAACAAACAGCAGATAATGTCTCACTTTGCTATATTATTTCTGCCAGAAACATATGCACCTACTTCAATATACAAAAGCTCTCTAAATTGCCTCATTTCCTGCACTTCTTTTAGGTTTTAATTTATTGTCTGACTAAGGAAGTTGTTTCTGGGGTTCTATTGTCAAACAGCTCTTCTGACTTCTTTTTGTTTTTGGAACTATTATTACGAAAAAAAAAGAGCAGTTAACTCTTGTAGACAAATGTCTTATGGAAACAAGTAAAAAATAAAAAAACCATTCCAATATATGCAAATGGCAACACATCATATTTTCTTGCCACATCCACAACAAGTTGGAAGCTGCAAATATAATCCTCTTTTTTTCTCAAGTGATTGATATTTTCTAGATCAAAGGAGAATCAAGTGGCATTTGGAAAGATCAATGTAACAAAGCATAAAGCCATATAATAAATACAATGACAGAAGCTGCAACAAGGATTTCTGCTCCAGCGGGAAGAAAACTGTACTCCTTAGAAAACCTTTTGTCACGACAGCAAAATTACACTGGTGAAAAAAAGCTCAGAACAATTCCACTTAGCAGAATTCAATCCAAGGCAACTAATTTACTACTAATTTTTAAGGGCTGAATTGAACAGACAATGCATCATAGAAGACAATTTCAAGCTTAAAATTCATCAACTTTTCTGAGATTTGATGGATACCTGATCATGTTTCAAGTAGCAACTCTCAATTGTGTATCTGCCGTCTAGACATATTGTGTTCAGCATGAAACAAAAAGTACAAGTGACATACCTACTACAGTAGTCTAAATGGACGATAAGTCTTACTGTTTGGTCTAAGTCAAGATACATGTTTGCATAGATGGAAACTAATTTCTCCAGGAAGCATATCCTGCTGATTCAATAGGTTGCCCTTGTGATCAGTTTTGGAACGAACACTATAGCTGTACTGGTATCAGTTACCAAGATCATCTGACTTAGTTCAATGTAATTAGGAGTTAGGAGTTGGTCTCAAGGCTTGCACAAGGGTGGCCACACATAACTTACCAAGGTATTCAAACAAACCCTGGGCAAATGTCCACTAAATACTATAAGGGGTCTCATTTAGACACTACCGTACCCATTTTATTAAATGGGATATGGCGGCTTGTACTAAAGGATAATTGGATTTATACTTAAGTTTGAATCAGACAGCATTGAGCTAAATCAAGTAGGCTAATTCGATTAACCCATGTAAAGTCAATTCTCTTGATGGATTAGACAGCCAAGTGATAAAAAGAAAGTGGGCAAGTTGGTGAAGGTCACCATCATCTAGACATCCGGTTCCTGTGCTATTGCCCCTGAAGAAGATCTTGATGTGATACGATGACTTGAATCATGATAACAGTGATTCTTGTGTCAACAAACATGGATTTTTTTAATGTTAAATGAAGCTTGTTAGCTCAAGCTATAGGAACGGGTTGAACAAATAATCACTTGATGGTCATCAGGACAGAACATAAGGAAAATTAAAAGCATATATATCAATTCGTTATACTAACAAGTAGATCACAAATCAAGTTTATGATGAAAAAATTAAATAAGATGCTAGACTTGATATGGCAGTCAAAATAGCTTCGCAAGAAGTTCAATTTATCCAAGATGAATGTAATGAGCACAAAAGAAACCAAGCGACGCTCTCATAAGAACATGGAATTCAAGACCTGTTTTCTATTTACCTTTATCACGGAATTTCCTAATCATTTCACTGATAAAAATAATAAAATCAAACAAGTACCTAAGTTCCATAAATACGGGATTTTGACAATTAGCTCCCAAATTCTACTTCTTTGGCATCTCTTGCATCTGTTTTAATGAGAAAAGGTCAAAAACCTAAGGCACATGAAAAATCTTACCTTGTTGTGGGAACTCCCGAGTGTCTTCATATATATCGTCTATACCAAATCAAAGAACACGAACTAGAAAAAGAGAAGAATATCATGGGAGAAGAAATTAGAAAGTGAGAAAGGTAGAGAGGACCAAGACCAGTGCGGGCTTTCTCTTAGGTCTGATGCCGACGCGGGAAGGCGGAACCCAGCGGAGCTCCGGCGCTCATCGGGTTCGCTATGTTCTCCAGCGTGGTGGCACACCGGCGGAGGAGCGGCGGCGACTCCGGCGGGGAGTGGAGGTCGAGAGAACCGGTTTGAAGGAATTAGGGGTCGGGGAAGGACACGTGCGACTCTCGTGCTTAACGTGGGATTACGAGAGGATGGGCTGGGCGTCTCTCTCTCTCTCTCACCTGACCCAACCCAAGACCATGGCCTTGGACACCAAACCCGACACACCAGAAGGGGACCCCGCCGAAACGGAGCCGGCGGCGACGGAGAAAGAATCGACGAACGGCTTCCGCCGACCGATCCTGTCCCTTAGGCGCAGAAAACAACAAAGAAGCCAGCTTTGGGAGAGCCGCTGGCCGCCGAGTCCGCGGCGGAGGCCGGAGAGGAGAAGGTCGCCGCGCAGGAGGCGGCGGTGGCCAAGAGCGACGTCGTCGCTGAGCTCGGGGACCCCGAGAAGTAGGCTCCCGACGCCGAACTCCTTCCTCCAGAGCAGAGCGTTCTTGAGCATGGTCATGGTTTCCTTCACCTTGAAGTCCCGGGCGCGGAGGAACTTGAAGTGGACAGTTTGGCTCCTCCGGGACGGCCCAGATTAAGACCTCCTCTGCGGCGATGACGGCAGGAACAGCTGCCTTCAACTCTTCACCTCCGGTGCTTCGACCGCCGGCGCCTCGGTCTCTGTGGATGGTCGAGCGACGACGGAGACGGTAAACCCTAAACCTAATGAACTTTCGAGTCCTGCAACGTGATAATTTGGATTGAGCACTGATACGCGAAGCCACATGAAATGGCATTCTATTTTGCGTCACCCACATATAATGTCTTATTTTCAATCCATGATTTAAATGACAAGACCTGCAGACTGCAGATTGTTACTCCAGCATCTGAATTCTTGATCTTCTACACTTGACAACCAACAAAACAAAGAAAAAAGTTAATTCTTTTTTAGCAATTGCAGATGGATGAGCCAAAAATTTATGGACGGACAGAGTAGTATTATTCTTTGTCATCGTTTCTTTTATTGCACTTCTCTGTTGAGCCAGAAAACAAAGCACTAGAATTTGGTATTAAGATCTTAATTCTCTGGTCATAAGTTACATGATCAGATCATGCTGCTTTTACAGCATATGCTTTGATGCAACTTCATTCACATCTTTATTCTAAAGGCATCAACCAATGTCCGTATTCCTCTGCGTAAGCAGTCCTACAAATGGATTCAAGCACTCCATTTCATCTTTAGCAGCTGTAAAGGTCTCTACCATTCAACTTAGAACATCTTCCCCGCACC